ATAGACTAGCAACATCATGCTACCCGTGAACGTCACATCACTGACTAAGCATATATATCTCGCACTCTGCGAACTATTCGGTGGCGTAATTAATCAAGCTTGCATTAAGTACGTCACATCAATACAGTGCTTATATGCTGCAACGTGGCATACGCGCGAACCCGAAGGTTACCCTACTGGTGACGATGTGCGGTTAAACTTAACCATAGCCCATCTGTCACATTCAAGCTCGCGTTGGCTTTCCGGGTCTGCGCCATGCGCAAGACATTGAGTTCGCTTGCAGCCGCATCGCAACCTTCCCGGCGAAGGCTCTGCAAGAGATCACTGAGATCTTTGACCGAAACATGCGCAAGCCAACCACTCGAGACAAGGCCCCTCCTAATTCGGAACCCCGCATACCAGCACCTACGGCCTCTGAGCCAAAATCAACCAAGCTGAAAGACAAGCTGGCCACACTTGGAACATGCTTGGTGGTTCTGGAGTTGTTCTCTGGCCTCATGGCCACAACCGAAGCGCTGCTGGGCCAATGAATAATTGTTCGCAAGGTTTATGCCTGCGAATTGGTCGCTAAAACCAGAAAGATCGCCATGAGGCGACTGGCCGTCCTGCATACGCTTTATCCTCAGCTGCTTAGCACTGACGCCATCAAGGATGTCGAGCAGCTGTCTGAGGATGTACGCCACATCAACGCGGGGACACTTGGCCGGCCTTGGACGGCCCGACCTCGTAGTGCCGGGTTTTCTGCCAGGGAGTCCCACGCGCCGCAGATCATTCACCTGGACTGCGTGACGCACGGACCGTCCTCTTCGAGAAGGCCGTCCGACTTGTCCATCTCATCAACGAGATTTGGCCAAAAAAGCCCTGCGCCTATATGTTCGAAAACGTTGACGCAAGCGATCACCCGCAACACTACGTTCAAGACGAATCCAACAATATTGAGAAGGGGGTCCTAGGGCACCCCTTCGCACTTCAATGACGCGGTCGCCGTTGTCCATCGTCTGCGCCGCTGGTGCCGTCCAATCTCTTGAATGAGATGGTCAAAAAGAAGTTCAAGCACCGCAATCCTGACCAGTACGTACAGCGCATTTTGGAGCTAGGCCGTAAGGCCCAGTACGCCGGGCACAATCATGCTCCTGGCCGGCACTCCGCAATCGTGCCTGGTGAGCCGCTCGGCGCGCGCTCTCGACTTTCGTAACTGCCCGAGGCTCTCATGCCTACCAGTTTGGACAGCAGAGCATGATTCACAAAGCTGACGGCTTCTGGGATGAACCCCCCGGTCTAGAACGCGAGCGCGCTATGGGCTTCATGGACGACCTGACCACTCACTCTGTCCCTCCATCTCTCAGGCCGACCGGCGACGGATCCTGGGAAGCACAATGGACATGCACAGCCTCCACTTTCTGATTGGCAGCATCCAATGCTTCCAGGCAGCCTTCTTCACCAATTGACGGTTTGCCCGGCGCAACGCACTCGAGTCAGAGCGTTGTGACCAGATAGACGACGGCACTGTTCCACTAAAACAGGTTGCCAAGTTCGTGCAAGCTGCGCATCCCTGCAGACCCTAGCACAGCCCTAGAAATTTCACCCGAGCTAGAGGGGGGGGAGAGGAGGAACGCCATCAGAAGGAACGGCTCCAAGGGAACCTCCGGAAGCGAGGCCTTCGAGTAAACTTTGGAAGAGCGCTTCTCGCGAGAAGACCGTGAATGAGATGCCGTTCAAGTCAGCCCTGAAAGAGGGGCTTCAGAACGAAGATGGGAAGAAAGCTAGCCGCTTAAAGAGGGCGTCAGACTATGTATACGTCCTTTTGCTGCATTCCGAACAATCCGGAAGCTTGCAAAAAACCGACTCCAGCACATTGGCCAGCGTGTTTGCTTTTTCCGGATGACGTCAGTGCGACGTTGAACATTTTAGCCTCTGCACAGCGCTTCGGGTCCCGGTGAGACCTTTTTCGTTGCCAGATGTGCGCAATTTTTTGGGGCAGACTCCAGTCACCAGTTTCTTCTTTTCTTGCAAGAAGTTGAAACACGAGGGCACTTTGCAGCACCTTCCAAGGCATGGAGGCGCTTGCTCTCTTCCGGGTCGGGCTTGAGCAGAAGCTCCCCGCACATGCAATTATTCATGTCCTGGAAGTCTCAGAGGGCTCCAAATCTTGTATGCTGAACTCAAGGGTGGGTTTCTGTGGCAAACAGCGGATGGTAAGTTGGCAAAGTCCTGGAGCAAGGTAGCTCCTTCAATGGCGGCCGCTGAGGTCCATCAGACAGTTACTAGGCTTGAGTGGGTTGCTATGACCAAAGATCTTGTTCAGTGGTATGTTGCCCTGTGAGGAGAAGCTAGACCCAAAAATCGCAGCGGTTGCGCTGTCCGCCGCCGAGATTGATGTGCCAAAAGCGAGAACTAATTTAGTTGCCTGGATGAATGCCACTCCTCTCACTACGGACGAGGAGATGCTGCAGCTTCGTGGCATTGCTAAAAACCAGCTTAATGATCCAGAGAACTGGCCAATTGGAGATCCAAGTAAGCAAAAAGAGAATTGGTTCAAAGCTAAAAATCTAACCATAGAGGTAGCGGATGAATTGGACACAACCTTTGGAGAGGCCCTTTGGAAGGCACTGCTTGGACACGCAGTTCTCCTGATGCGAAAGACAATGGTGGAGCGAAGCTCAATCGTGGTGAGCAAAATGAGAAACTCTGCCCGCATGATTTTGTTTTTAAGGGGATGATTGCGAATTTGATTCGAGTCCACAGTCTTGACAGTGTCCCCAATGCGTTGATCTCATGGAAAAAGCACCTTTTACGCTAACTCAGGCTTGTGCATTGTTTCTTACATGAGTGAATATGTCACACTGGCAATGCATTGCGTCCAAATTTTGAGAAGACTCCCACTTGAAGACTGCCCTTCTGCCAAAACAAATCTGAGAACCTCTGCAATGCTCTGATCAGCAACATTGTCAGTTGTTATTCCTCACCAGCACCAAGTGGCTGTTGTGAGCCTTTGTGACTTTCTCTGATCACATAACAGTGGCAGATTGTGTTCGGATACATGTGCTTGACATTGATAGGCATGCTTTGTCGAGTCAGTGGTATCACAAAACTACGGCATCTTCATTTTGACTTGGTTCTTTCTGTACTGCTCACTTCACGCATTCCTCAAGACAGCGGCTGATTGAATTTTACTTTTGACACGTGTATCATTTCAAATCTTGATCAAATCAGTAACCTGCCTGAAGCTCACGCTGTTCATCTTGTTGTGAATGAGAATTATGTGATGTAGTCTGAATTCTGAGAGCGGACCGTGAAACTCTTATAAGTCTGTGCTCCCCTGACGGCAATGAGATCTTTGAATCTCACCAGATAAATTGACACCCTGCAATATCCGATTTGCAGCACCTTGACCAGTTTGTAGCCCGCGCTGTCCTCTCAATCGGCCTCAGATCCGAGGCGTGTTGGCACATACCACTCTGTGACTTCCTGATTTCCGTTCAGTCGGGACGACTTCGCCCAGTAGGGGGGAGGGATCATAGATGGTGTGTATGATGCATATGAGTGACATGAGATGCCATGTATTTTTCTTTTAGCCGAGTGCGCCAAGACTTGGCTGGTATATTATTGACATGTTCACCGCAACGACCTAGACCGCTGACACTTGCATGCCGTGATACTTCGTTGCTGTAAGGGCTCGGCCCTATGCTAGTTTATTTCCCGTACCTACTTCAAGCCTGCCGCTCTATGGTGATCCCCCTGAGCCTGAGCTTCAGAACATTGCATAACTATTGAGAGGCGTGCGCTTGATATCTGCTCGCGGCCGTTACGATCATATTCAACCGTGTGACCACATATTTCGGTGGTTGCTAACGGCGTCCAGCCATGGGGATTATGGCGACATCGACTCCACGCAACTTGTAGACTTTCTAGGCTAGTTGTGGACTGAAAGTATCAGTGTAAGACTTTGCGCGACACCCTAGACCGAAGCGACTCGCCTTCGAGTTCAGTCTCGACTTAGATATCCCGACGACTGCAAGTACAACCTAGGAATTTTCGATTCATTCGCCAATTTTGTGCGCGTTGTGTTTTGGAGACTTCAGCGCTCCTTTGTGATGGTCAGGCTAGACGCCCTGCATCCTCTCACCTGCATGACTTAGCTAGCACCTTCAAGCGCTTTGACGATTCCACCCTCCACGTTTGCCTACTGTTTGCCACCCCCTGTGCCGAGTGCCTCGTTGGTGGGATCATAGATGATGTGTATGATGCATATGAGTGACATGAGATTCCATGCTTTTTTAATTTAGCCGAGTGCGCCGAGACTTGTCTAATATGTTATCGACTTGTTACCGCAACGACCCAAGACCGCGTGACAGCTACCTTAGGTGAAAAGGGATGAAGCGGTCGTTGGGAGGGGAAGGAAAAGGTCTCTTGAGTGGAAGTTGGGAGTGGTAGAAGAATCCGTTACCGTAGAGAAAATGGCAAGGTTGGATAAGCCTTTATCCAACCTTGCCATTTTGCCCATTTTGCCCACGGCACATACCCCGGTTTTAGGGAGGGATAATTGGTCAACACGGTAGGAAAAATTCGAAGCTCTTCTTGTTTACAAAGCCTCTATGTGGCAATAGAGAGTCCGGAATTCGCGGAAAGTCGGAGAGCGTCGGACCAAGCTAGGTCCTTGATGCTTATGCACTCGGAGGATACATATCTGAAGTTGTTTGCCGGAGCGGACACGGCGGTGAAGGCATGGAAGAAACTCCATGAGAACTTTTAGAAGACGAGCAACGCAAGGGTGGTTCAACGAAGAAAGAAGTTGACAAGATTGACGTTGATGCCAGGAAAGAGCATGGCGGAGTACGTGGGTGAGTTCCGGGAGATCAAGATGGATTTGGAGACAGCGGGTCAAACCGTTTCCGAGGTAGAGTTGGCGGTCCATGCTTTGAATGGGTTGCCAAATGAGTATGTAGTGGAATATCTAGAGTTAAGTGACACGGAGTCCACGTTGGATACGCTTCAAAGTAATGCTCATGCAAAAGGAGCAAAAGTTGAAGAGCTTGAAAGGCGAATTAGAAGCTCCGGAGGAGAAGGAGGAGGAGAATGCGGGCAAGGCGTGGGTTGCTAAGCGGGAACGGTGGCCAAGGGGTCAAACGAGCGGGGCGTCACCGGAGGGGGAAGGAGGGACGCCCCGGACACAAGAACTTGCTACGCTTGCGGCGAGAAGGGTCACTTCTGGGCCTATTGCCGAAAGCGGAACGCGGAGTGCTTCAATTGTGGTGAGACGTGGCACATTAGCTTGGTGTGTAGGAAGCCCCCTAGGTAGTGCAAGGAGCGGCGATGAGGACCGGCCGGATCAAAAGGAGTTTGCCGGTGTGGCGTTTACGGCGTGGCGCAAAGAGGCGCGGGCGCCGGCAGGTGTGGCGCTCGTTGACTCGAGGAGCACTCGAACACATCACGGCGGAGAAGAGCAATGTGCAAGCTACGAGAGGCTTGCGCATATAGACAGAATAGGGGGCTTGGAGGGGAAACCTTGACGGCGGTGGGGATTTTTGAAGTCGTCTTGGAGTGTGAAATGCCAGACGGTGCAAGCACGGTAACCTTGACAAAGCTTTGGCACGTTCCGGGAGCGAGGGCGAAACTTGTTTGCTATGCAAAGAGCAACGGACGCGGCAGCAAGGGTCTCCTTTGAGAGCCGGGTAGCCCGCCGTCGAGATGGGAGGTGTGGTGAGAATAGAGGGTACAACACAACGGGGTTGTGGGATATTGCAACGGTGAAGAAGGCGAGAGCATTCTTGGCGGTCAAGGGGCCGGCCGAGACGGAGGGTCGACTCGGAAAGGCGGCAAGGAAGCGCAAGTGGTAATGGTAAAGAAACGAAAGGAGTCGAAGTACATTGAGGTGGACCTTCACTCCGACGACGGAGACCCCGACGGAGACGGAAGAGCACGGCGCAACGAAAGCCGTGGCAGCCGCCGCAGCGGAAGGCGTGGAAGCACCGGCCGACATAGCCTTGAAGGCGACGGAGCGGGTGGTGTCGCCGGACACGGGCGGCAAACGTTATTCGGATAGAGCGCGATCGGCATCTCGGAACGTTTTGAGAGCCGCCTACCGAAAAGGGGTGAATCATGCCAAGAATCAAAGAGAGCGGGTAGAAGAGGCTAGATGTGAGCGGAATAATATTCGCGTGGGAGTGTTGTGAAACACGAAGCTGATTGACGGCCGAATTATTGAGTTAGACTCGATAGATCTGAGCCGTAGATTCGTGAGTTTTGTCGTGTAACATCGACCGTACGCTTGTGCTTTGTGTCGTGTAATATCGACCGTAGAAATGGAGGTTTGTGTCGTTGAGTATCGACCGTCGGATTGCGTGTTGACTCGGACTGTTAGATGTGAGTCGACTCGAGTAGTATAGTACCTCGGTCACAAGTCCGAGTGGAATACATGCCGTATTGTGAGTAGTAGAAGAACCGGTTGATGGAAAGGAGTCCATATAGTTAAACCGACTGGTGGTAGTGGAAGTAGATCCGACCTTGGCTAGCGTACACCTAGGAACGGGATTATGACTTTGGGCTAATGGTCATGGATGATATTTATTCTAAAAGATGCTGCTTCAACAGAGGAGGACACCTGACGGTTTAACCGTCCAACGCCGTATACGCACGCGGGCTCACTAGTTCAAACCTTGACTCGGGCCGAACCCTTATTACATTAGTTCGGTTGACTACAATCACGGAATTCTAATACTTCCACTCAGACGAATTCTCTAGCCTCTAACTCGTCACGCTCCTTTTGCGGGTTGTCTTCTTCGCCTTTGGCGTCACCCACACGCCTCCATTGTCGCCATCGTCGCTCTTCTCCGGCGACGTCTTCTCCACTCCGTGCTCCGGCTCTTTGGCTCCCACGGCTTCAACTTGTTGTTCCCACATTTGCCCAATACCACTCTGCAGGCTTCCGTTGCACTCTTGTGAGATATCTTTCCAACTCTTGCGACTCCACTACAGGCTTCTCCTTTGCCTGTTCCACAATGGCGGACTTGCTCTCCACTGCCGTCTCTAGGCTCTTCTTGCCCTTTCTGATCTCCTCGGACTCCCCACAACTTCGCGCACAACTTCCACAATCAGCCCGCATTGGCCCCTTTTTGAATCTGTGCGCGCGGCGCGGCCGCGGTCCGTCGCGAGCGCATGCGCGTCTCCCTTGCACGTCATCTCATTTTCCGCCCCCTTTTCGATAAGTTTCGAACTTGTGCGCGGCCCTTCGTCCGCCCCCACAAAAGTTCCCTCCTCTCGTTCGACGCCTCCATTTCTCGTCGTCCGACTCGTCTAGGTCGACATCCACGACCTTCACCGTCTTTTCCACCACGCTTTCCGCTATTGCCGGCCTCTTTGCCGTGGCGCACACCCGATTCCCCTTGACCGGACCCCTCGCAAGGAATGCTCTCTGTTTCCCGACGGTCTCAATCTCCCACAGCCCTCCACGCTTGACTGCCTCCATCCGGACCACGCCGTCCGTTTCTATCTGCGCCGTTCTCCCCTCGAGCACCACTCGTGCTTCCGCGTTAGTCGCTCTAGTTAGCGAGAACAAACTCGCCTGTGCCCTTGGAGCGTGCCGGACCTCCCTCAAGCTTTCCGTACTCACACCGCTCGGGGTCTTACACTTAAGCTCCACTTCTTCAATGCCCACTGCAATCAGAGACTCACCACATATCCCACGATCTTCTCGTCACGCACAAGCTTTCTGTAGCTCTTGAATGGGCTCCAATCGGCCGTGACATGCTGGGTGCTGCCCGAGTCGACAATCCACACCCCTTTGTGCACATCCCCGTCGTCGCCCCACGCCGTAATAGCTACTCCGTTTGCTTCCTTTGCAAATTCTCTCCCCTCTGCGCGGCCACTTGTGCGCGCGCTTTGTCTATACACGGCCTGTATGGCCCGTCTTGCCGCACTTGCGGCACCCCGCATTGCGCAACCTGCACTTTGCCTTCTTGTAGCCCATTTGGCCACAACAATAGCACGTTGGCGGGTTTGAGCTTCCGCCTCTCACCTCCGAGCTTCTTCCCAGCTCGTTTGAGCTTCCCCGGCCCTTCTCTGAGCTCGAGTAGCCCCTATGCTTGGCCTTGCATACGCCACCGTTCCATCTCCACCCGAAGTTCCCTCCAAAGACCCCGCTTCAGCCCTCAACTTTAGCTTCTGCTCTCTCTGCATTGGCTGGATCACATCTAGGGTTAGATCCTTTCCCCACGCTCCAAAACTTCCACAAATGTGGCATACTCCACCGGCAAGCCTTCCAAGGCCTGCACGGCGAGCTCACCTCCGAGACAATTTGTCTCGCTGCCTCTAAATCTATCTTGAGCTCCCGGAATTCCCCTAGGTACTCTTCAATGGCTTTCCCCTTAGTCAACCTTAGACTCGTCAGCTTTCTCCTGAGCTGAATCATGCGCGCATTGCTCCTCTTCTCAAAGTCGTCCTCCAACTTCTTCCACGCTTTCTCCGCAGTGGGTTCACCCTCAATCAACTTCAGATAGGCATCTTCAGTGTGGATCAGCATCAGCCCCAATGCTTGGCTTGACACTTTCTTTCCTCCACGGACTCCGGCTCCTCCAATGCACACAGCCATCCCTTGTATGCAAGAAGCCCACAGAACTTGGCCTTCCACGTTGACCAGTTCTCACCACACAATTGCGGAATAGACACTCTGTCTCCCGCCATTTTAACAACACTCTCCCTTGAACACAAAGAAGCCAAATCCTCCGCTCCTTTTCCTCAGAAATTCAATTGTGCGAGCATTCAAATTTTGGCCCTCTAGACAATCAAAATTGAATCTGTGCGCCCTCTTCACAACCAAGCGTTTTGGGTCCATAACCTCTTGAAACTCATGATAGGGAGTCGTAGTGTGGTTGAGTTACTCGTCATCGGGTCTTATCGTGTTGCCCGGCACCCATGCTTATCACTCATTTGATGGCAGCCATGCATCTTAAGAGGAACACACGAAGCGCCTCACAAGCGGCTTCCTTCTTTCCACAAACTTCTCTCAGAATGATGTATCGCAATATTGGTTTCCACCACTATAAATCTACGGGTCTCTCTTGTTCCACTAGGCTCACTAGCGTACTAGGCTCCCTAGCCTAAGTCACATAGCTCACAGTCAAAGTCAAACTTCGTCTTCGATGTCATCATCTACAGCTTACACTGACGGCCGCTCTCAACCCCCTAACCTTCAAACCGCCTCACGGTTCAACCATCCAACCGCCGTATACGCACGCCGACACTGACTACTTCAAAGCCTAACTCGGGCCGAACCCTAATCACAGTAATTCGGTTGATTATAATCACCGAATTCTAACAGGAATCACAGCCGGAGAGCGGGTCTACCTCGTGGTGTGGGTGGACCACATCCTCGTGGCGCCCGTGGAGTGGAGCGGATTGCGAAGGTAAAGGCGCACTTGGCGAAGAAGTGCGCAAACTGGGGGAGGCGACGCACTTCATCAGGATGGAGCTGACGCGCGATAGGTAGGCGCCCACTATGAAGTTGACGCAAAAGAAGCTGACGGGGGAGCTAGTCGGACGTTGCGGACTGGCGGACGTGCCGGACTGGCGGACGTGCGGGCGCATAGCATTCCTTTTGGAACGGGGGAAAAGTTGACGAAAGAGGGTGAGCCCCTCGACACGAAGCGGTTTACATACAGAAAGTGTGGGAAGCCTGTTGTACCTGAGTGTGTGCACGAGGCCCGACATCGCTCAGGCGGTGGGGGCGCTTGCGGGCTATATGGTGGGGCCGACATAGGCACTCTGGCGAGCGGCGCTTGGGGTCGTGCGCAACCTCTCGGGAATGGCAGAAAACGGGGTGACCACGGAGGGAGCGAGGAGACTCTCGTCGGTTACAGTGACGCGGATTAACACAAAAGACGTGGACACGAGGAGGTCCACAACGGGGCTACGTCTCCTGATGTACGGGGGGGCAGGCAGCTGGTCGAGACAAATGACTGCGCGTTTCCTATCTCACTCGTGCACATCTTGAATTTCCCCGGTGCCAGCGCCTTGGTCATGATGTCCGCCTTCATGTCGTCCGTTCTTCTGTATGCGAACGCGCCCTCTTTGCGTGCCACGCGCTCCCATGGAGTGATGAATCATGTCAATGTGCTTCGACCGCTGCGACCGATCGGATGCTTCAGGAGCCGAATTGCCCCTTGGTTGCCGCAGTAGATCTGGATTG